CATTTTAAAACAAATTTAAGGAAGCACTTCTTTACACAGCGTGTAGTTAAAGTATGGAATAGTCTTCCTGCTAGTGTAGCGGAAGCTAAAACCCTGGGTTCCTTTAAATCAGAGCTAGATAAGATTTTAACAACTCTGAGCTATTAGTTAAGTTCTCCCCAAACGAGCTTGATGGGCCGAATGGCCTCCTCTCGTTTGTAAATTACTTATGTTCTTATGAAGCACTAGGGTCAAACAGAGCGCAACTTTTTGCTCTTCTTTGATTCCATCCTGTCTTTAGTAACTAACATGTTCCTGTTGACCAGTCGAGAGACTGTAGCCCCTTATTGTAAAAAAGAAAATACATTCCTTTACCTGAACTAGTACTATGTAGTGGATACAGCTAAGAACCAACCCCCATACATGCTGAGCTATTGTTTCATTTGATCAGATAACCAGGGGGAGAATTGCTTCGATCTGGCATTAACCGCTTTATCAGCGATGTGCTATTATCTAACCTGAACAACCTGCACTGAAAACTGCAGCTGGGCAAATGGAGGATCCAGGACTGTAATCTGTGCAGATCGTTATTACATTAGCTTTATGGCGTAGGGCAATTCCCAAGCATGCTGAGTGAAAACTGCTGTAAGTGAAAGTAATATTTCCACTTCAGGAGGCACCCAACCCTGAACTGTGGCTTCCTGTTTTTTTGTTAAGCTACAGAGTCTTACATAACGCACTAATCCAGCCATGAAAGTGCCTCACTATTACTGCACAGCAATACTTTAGCTGTTATTCGTGTTTTTATACATCCATAATAAAATATCTGAGTTATTGTATGTAATACTGAACAATTTAACTTGTCTCAAATCACATTTCAATCAGTTTTATAGTTAAAATAGCTAATAAAAGACAGAAACAATTTTCCAATAAGGAGAAAACTTAAAGTTATTTCCACATTGATTTGAGGGTGTGTAAAATTGATTATGGTTATTATTTGACAAATCATAGAGCAGATATAGAATCACATTGAACATGTGAGTATCCCTTGATATTATGAGTCTTCAGTGAACCTGTAGCCAGTTTTTCCCTTTGAAGGTACATGAAGCCGTCTTGCAGGCTCCCAATCCACAGGATTGGAAGGTTGGGGAGAGGAGCAGTGCCATTTGTGCAGCAGGTATGAATGGGAAGGACCCGGATGGATCAGACCTTGGCGATGGGCACTGGCTTTGGGAACATGGAAGGTTAACTTTCTGGCGGGTAAAGAGACGGAGCTTGTGTTGGACATGTTGGCTAGATTTAGTCAGCCTTACCTCTGCAACCAGACTTCTTGTCTCTTGTACTCTGGAGTTCTCCATGGAGAAAGACCTCAGGAAAGTGTGGAGATATTCACAAGGTCCAAGATGACGGCTGTGCGGCTGGAATTTCTTAGAGGATTTCCTCTATGAGACGTTGCAGATGTGAAGTTGCAGAGTGGAAAACTTTGACTGTTCTTTGTGCCAATGCACTGAAGTAGTGCCCACCCTTAAAGAGAGTGAGTGAATTGTTCAAAGGGCACTGTCTATGGGCTTTGTGATTCTACTAGGAGATTTCAGTGTTCATGTGTCGGAAGGATGGAGATACATCAAGGGGCAGTTTGGGAAGAACAGCCTGCCAGAACAGAAATTTGTATTTGACTTCTGCAGAAGGCAGCATGGATTGTCCATAACAAATACCATGTACAAACACAAAGACATTCTGCACATGGCAAAGACACCAGATGTACCAGGATGAGCAGTCAGGGTTTGCTGGTATCATGAAGCAACTGTTTGAGAACAACAGAAAGTTTTTTCCTGTGTCTCAAGTGAGGTTGTGGACATTGAACCTCAATGGTTGCAACTATGAAGAACTACAGCCAGAAGGTAGTCATGGTGGTAAGCCGGAGATCCACTGGTGGACACCAGTGGTGAGAGTAGCTGCCAAGCTTAATGGGGAGGCCTTTAGGGAAAAGCTTACACTGGGGTCTCCAGAGACCCGAGAATGGATCAGAAAGGCTGGAAATGCTGCAATGAAGTCATGGAGGTAAAAGCATGCGTCTAGGAGTAATTCATAGAGGTCATAGACAGAGAATATTAGGTTTCCCATCCATCCATTTTCTGAAACTGCTTGTCCTATTCAGGGTCACGGGATCCTGTTCGGTTTTCAATCCTACCTGGCTTCTGATGAGCCACACCTGTTCTCAGGTAAAGAGCAGGTGTGGCTCATCAGAAGCCAAGTAGAATAGAAAACCTACTGGATAGTAGCTCTCCAGGACCGGAGTTGGAGACCCCTGCTCCACAGATTACAGCCATTCCCGAGGGCTAACACACACACCGCCCCCCCCAGGAATGTTACACATTCAATCCCCACTCCACTCAAAATCAAGGTGTAAAGCACAGCAAGCTTACAGCCACAATACCTTTGTGTTTTTAGATCCAGATAATATAAACCACATCAAGCTTATAATCACAACGCTAGTGCATTAATTCCCCTACAGGCACCAAACGGAAACATTCCCAGCCTCCCATCTAACCCCACCCTCCTGCTCATGACCATAATCTGCAGATAAAACTACTTTCTAAATAAATTATTGTGTATGTTAAAAACAAAACTTGATCATTTAAAAATTGCTAAGTGCTAAAATGTTTGCTCTAAACTTTCAAACAGATGTCTAATGGTTGATAACTAAATAACTGATTACTAAATGATAGTCCCCTAATTGAAGTAATTTTTTAATAGGACTATTTATCTGCATGACAATCTGACATATAATTTATTCTTATATTCATGATTAACAAATTATTAATTACTCAGAAACTAGTTGCTATGGATAAGGTGCTATCAGTTGTCTGTATATGAATGACTTGTCATTGAGTCAGTATTGCTGACGGAAAGTAGACTCTTCCTTAGCAAACACCAAGTAACTAAATCATTATACAATTATGATTCATTAAAAAACTGCTAATTAAACATTAAAATGTTGGTTACGGTATAACTAACCTTCATCTAGGTCAGGGTTGGGGAACCTGTTCCATGGAGGGCCGTTGTGGGTACAGGTTTTTGGGACGACCTCTCAATCAGCCAATAATAAAGCAGTAGTTCTCAACTCCAGTTCTGGGGACCCACTGTTATTGGCTGATTGAGAGGCCATCCCAAAACCCCGCACCCACACCAGCCCTCCATGGATCAGGTTCCCCACCCCTGATCTAGGTGATCACAGGGATATGTGGGTTTCTGGGGTGTAACAGTCAGGCTAGAATAATCACATGATTCAGTGTACTGTATAAGGGATAGATCAAATGGGCAGATTGTCCCAATTGCTGACAAGGGACAACCCAAATGCAGGCTGTGATTGAGCCAAACTGACAAAAGGGGTGTTTATTGAAAGGACTAGGCAGGATACAACATGCTGACAGGTAACAATGGCAGAACAGGGAGCACAAGCCTGGGAGACACTAATATACCTGACTAACAAGGGATCAAACACAAGGCAGCTGTGAGTGATTAACAGGAGGGCAGGGAAAGAGGTAAGACTAACGAGCTCCAGGCATGGCTAGTTTAGAGCCTCACCCGAGGGCAAACGAGGCGATCAGATAGGCAGGGCAGGCTGCACGTGATGCAGAAAGGGTTTGCAAAGTGATTTCATGCTCCCTTGGAAGAGAATATTTAGTATTTTTGCAATGCAAAAATACAGTAGTTTTTTAAAATAAACCAGGAAGTACAGCATCCACGGCTTGTATCAAACAAACCGTGGATGCTGTACTTCCTGGTTTATTTTTATACACTTACAATAAGGTTATTTGGTATCTTATATTAAAATCCATTTTGATGTATCTTTGCCCTTTCCTTGGTATGGTGGGCTTGAAGTCACATCCCTGCTATTTGCAGATGGTGTCATGCTTTTCAGCTGTCAAGAACGTCTAGCACACACTTCAACGTTTCGAGGCCAAACGTGAAATGGCAGGGATGAGAAGCAGTAGCCCTAAATCTAAGGTTATCTCATACTCTCTCAGAAAAGAGTGGATGGCTCCTTTCAGATGACCTGAGAGAAAAGGGTTTAAGAACCTCAAGACCTCAAGAACCTCAAGGTCTTGTTCACGAATGACAGTAACATAACAGTTCACAGGCGGATCAGTGTGGTGACTGCAGTTTTGTGGGCACTGAGGAGGTCTGTGATGGTACGGTGGGAGATAAGTCATAAAACCAGACTAGCTGCTTGTCAGTCAGTCTACATTCCTATCCTCACCCGTGGACATTAACCCCATTTTATGTATTTAGTAGATGCTTTTGTCCAGAACGATGCACATTTTTCAGAAAGCAAGGTCAGACAGTCCCTAGAACGAATGGCTCTGCTTAAGGGCACTGCAGTGAACTCATGCTGCTGATCCCGGGATTTGAACCGACTTCCCTCAGATCAGAGACCCAGTGTCCTTCCCCACTATATCTGCACACAATAACCAAAAGAATGAGGCTGTCAGAGGCTGCTGCTCCGGAAGGAAAGATGTCAGCTGTCGTGTGAGGATGGTTCTAGAGAAGGGTGCTCCAGCGACACACCCCCTATGCAGAGGCCCCAGGGAAAAGCCAGGAGATGCTGGAGGGATGATATCTCCCCACTAGCTTGGGAACCATCTGGAGATCCCCCAGACACTAGAGTCTGTAGCCATGGAAACAGTGCCTGGTCTGCCCTGACTTTCTTGGCCCGCTTCCACCACAACCCTCAGAAAATGATGATAAACCACAAAGTCAGTCATCAGCTTTTAGCACCAGCACCACAACAAGGCCATGTTTAAGCCTTATGTATTATTTTCACTCGTGATTTTAATCGAAACTGAACTACAGGACCGTCTGGAGTTTATAGGCATCAAGAAATTTGTAGGAATGCAGAAAATGAGCATATTTGCATAGGAACAATTCATTTAAAAAGTGCCTTCATGAGAAGTAGGTCAAGAATGAAAAAAATCCATAAAATCAGTTCAATTAATGGAAAATTCCCTTTTATGGTGTATATTCTAGTTTTATTATTTCGACCAATACGGTTTTGTAATAATACAGTGACTTTTAAGTTTATGGTCAGGTACATTACTGGGTAGTGTTACTGTGCCTATTACTTTGACTACTGGGGAAAAGGAACAATGGTAACCGTATCATCTGGTAGGTATGATTTTATATATTACACCTTTCGCCAAAAAAAAAAATGCTTTTCCTAAGCATCAAGTAGGCCTACTGTAAAGGCAAAATCAAAATCGTGTTTGTTTTTGTATGAACCGTGCGCCAGATAGTTAACAGTGATTCCTACTTTGACTACTGGGGGAAAGGGACCATGGTCACCGTATCTTCAGGTATAACTTTTTTTCGCTTTTTTTAGCATTTATAATTCATAATTCTCGACGTGTTGTGATTTCGCGATAAAAAGTCTAAGGCACTAAACTTTTAAGTATGAGTAGCCTGAGGTCCTGTGTCATTGTGCGTACTATGATGCATTTGACTACTGGGGGAAAGGAACGACAGTAACCGTGACTTCAGGTAAGAAAAAATGTATAATTTTGGGGGGAATGATCAGGCTGTTGGAGGATGTTACTGTTCATTGAAATTTGCTATTTTTGTTTATTTTAAATTAACTCGATCCCATTATTTGCAAGTACGTACGTTTATAATCTTGAATATCTGAAAGTTTATAGCAATGTTTCGCGTTTGGAAATTGAAGTACAAATTTTCTGAATTGTCCGTATTTGGGAAACCCTGTCGTAGATGATAGATGGGATTTTAGTGCTGGTCGAGTGTAGATGTACGTTACTGTGTATAACGGGTACTTTGACTACTGGGGGAAAGGGACCATGGTCACCGTATCTTCAGGTACAGTATCACTTTCCTATTTTGCTCTTTTTAGCATTTCGGCTATATAATTCATAATTCTCGAAGTGTTGTGATTTCGCGATAAAAAGTCTAAGGCACTACACTTTTAAGTATGAGTAGCCTGAGGTCCTGTGTCATTGTGCGTACTATGCATTTGACTACTGGGGGAAAGGAACAACAGTAACCGTAACTTCAGGTAAGAAAAAATATGTAAACGTTTTAAATGAATATTTTTTTTTCGAAATGCCAAAAAATTTTCAATCAGTTTGTCCAAAAACTCATAATGTTTGCATGTTGTGGCGTTATCGTTAGTGAATGCGTTTTAAGTACTGGTCGACCTTGGTATTATTTTACCGTGTAACGCTTTTGACTACTGGGGAAAGGGGACCATGGTCACAGTGACTTCAGGTAAGAAAAAATGTATAATTTTGGGGGGAATGATCAGGCTGTTGGAGGATGTTATTGTTCATTGAAATTTGCCATTTTTGTTTATTTTAAATTACCTCGATCCCATTATTTGCAAGTAACCTACGTACGTTTATGATATTCAATATATTTTGTTTGAAAGTATATAGTAATGTTTCTCGTTTGGAAACAAAATTACGAAATTTTCTGAATTGTCCGTATTTGGGAAACCCTGTCGTATACGATAGATGGGATTTTAGTGCTGGTCCAGTGTAGATGTACGTTACTGTGTATAACTGGGCTTTTGACTACTGGGGGAAAGGGACCATGGTCACGGTGACTTCAGGTAAGAAAGAATTAACGTAAACTTTTCCCGAATACTCTACCTGTTGAATGACTTTAATTCTCATTGAAACATGCAGTTTAATTATTATTTACCAAAATGTTCGTAGATGAAAATACTTTTCCGTGGACAGACGTGCCGAAATTCTAATGATTATTCTTCGGAAAACAAATTCTAAATTTCTCAAATGTGCGCGTATATGAGCGGTCTATAGCGGTAAATGAGATATACGTACGAGTGGAGTGTAATATCAGGTTACCGTGTAGCTGGGAGGCTTTTGACTACTGGGGAAAGGGAACCGTGGTCACGGTGACTTCAGGTAAGAAAAAACAATAAAAATTAAGGAGGATTTTGAAACGAAATATTTTGTTTACTTAACTTCCGAATTTATTCACGTTTATAGTATCATAGATTTAACGAAATTGCGAGTTCAAATATACTGTTTTAATTTCTGTGGTTGAAAAATAAAAAAAATATGTTAAATGTGCGAAGTCGATGACCGTAAACAGACAAAAATGCTGTTTTAGTACTTGGCAAGTATTGTCTTATATTACCGTGCTGGCTGGGGTGCTTTTGACTACTGGGGAAAGGGGACCCTGGTCACCGTGACTTCAGGTAAGAAAAACGTTTTCTTTTGCTGTAGGGTTTAAATTTCGAAATCGAAAATAATAATAATTATTATTATTTTGTCCGTCCATCCATTTGCTACAACCGCTCGTCCTGTTCAGGGCCGCGGCGGTCGGGAGCCTAACACGGTAAAATGTAGGGATACTTATCCCGTTATTTGCTAATGAATGCACTTCATAAAACAATTTTAAAAACGCCGAATTTATAGTAAACCCATGCTCTAATCGCTGTGTTTTGGAAAAACACAATGTGTCAAATATGCGAAGTCGTGTATTGTAACGGGTAGAAAATGCTGTTGCTATTCTATTCTATTATAGTCTAACGTACTGAAATTAGAAAGCCTTGTTTTATTTCATTGTTGCGGCTGATATGGACCCCTGGGGCAAAGTAGCCATAAACGTATCCACATGCGAAGTAATGGGAGGTGAAGGACAGTAAATGTAATATAAGTACGAGTCGAATGTAGAATTATGTTGCTGTGCTACTGGGCTGCTTTTGACTACTGGGGAAAGGGGACCATGGTCACCGTGACTTCAGGTAAGAAAAAATAATATTATAACGTCAAGTTTTGGTCAATATTCTATTTGCTGCAGGACACCATGATATCTACTAATTATCTCGGCTACTATTCAGTGAAATGTGCATATTCTGTTAGCTGCTAATGCATGCCCGTTATAACGAAAAGGTGAATTCGGAATGTACCGATGTCTTAATCACTGTTCGTGAAAAGTACAAAATGTCTCAGATTTGCGAAGCCGTGCCCTGTAAACCGATAGTAAATGATGTTTTGGTACTTGGTAAGTGTTGTCTTATACTGTACTCACCGTGTAACTGGAATGCTTTTGACATTTGGGGAAAGGGGACCATGGTCACGGTGACTTCAGGTAAGAAAAAATTTTACGATGTTTCATATACTGCAGGCTAATTATCTCCCATATTTAGAGCAGATAGATGTAAAGGGAATGTGAAATGACGATTAATCGCCAAATAAGTGGAATCCTCAACGCTTTAACTCGTTTAAATGCGGTTTAAGTACTACCCCGCAGTGGTTTATTATCACCGTGTTACTATGGTGCTTTTGACTACTGGGGGAAAGGGACCATGGTCACGGTGACTTCAGGTAAGGGAAAATTAACGTAACCTTTTCCGGAATACTCTACCTGCCGAATGACTTTAATTCTCATTGAAACATGCAGTTTGCTAATTATTTATTACCATTTAGCAAAGTGGTCGTTGGTGAAAATACTTTTCTGTAGGCCTGCGTTCCAAAATTTTATTGATTGTTTTTGGAAAAAAAATAATACAGAATTTCTCAAATGTGTGCGTATTTGAGCGGTGTATAGCGGTAAATGAGATATACGTACGAGTCGCGTGTAATATCACGTTACCGTGCTATGGGTATGCTTTTGACTACTGGGGAAAGGGGACCGTGGTCACGGTGACATCAGGTAAGAAAACAATCTTAATTTAGAATTATAATATGTTTTAAAAATCGATTTATTACAAAGATGTCACGTAAAATGTTCTTGAAGGCTGTTAATGGCTAAATAAAAACCAATAGCTCTGTAGTTTCAATTTACTGCTGGGAAAGGAATAACGATGGTTGTGAGCTCAAGTACGAAAAATATCTAGTGTGTGTGTCTGTGCGACCCTTCTTATTAACGTTTAAAATAATCTTCAAATGAATCTATTTAGTCTTATTTAATAAATCCTGTGAATCTCAAAAGATTCCATCATTCTGCCCAGGTAAGACTTGGAGTCAAATTCCCATTTTGTTGTTTAGAATACATTACTGACTGATTTAAAAGTGTCCTCCATCCGAAAAACTTTATCTACTGCAGTGTTAGTTCCCAGATTTACCTGATTATCGTTTGCTTTAGAATAGTTTAAAGGTGTCGGTTAATCTCGGATTATTTTTAAAGAGTATTAAATAATTACAAGTATTTTTGAGCAAACGTTTTCTTAAGATCTTTTTCCCAGTCCAATCTATTTGGCAATCTAAAATAAATCGTGAGCGTAACGCTGTTTAAATGCGGAAAAATAATGGAGTGGTATTTATAGAAAAAAACTGCAAGATTCTCAGGTGAGATATAACTGCATCGGTTAAGAGTCATTATTACTGCTAAGCAGGCTCTGTATTTTCTGTATTTATCAAGTAAGAAATAAATGTAAAATATCAGCGCTGTATTTAATTGGAAAAAATGAATCAAACACGGTAATATTTAGAAAGGAATGTTATATTGAAATTAAATAAGATAAAATATTTTCGAAAATAAAACACTTTAAACCTGCGTTTTTTAACTTTGAAGTAACGAAAGTAAACCAGAATAACCTTTGCTTTAAAAATGTATCACTTAACATTAATGGAAAAAGTTGCTTATTTAGGTCGCTTGCAGAAGACATTTTTACGCAACTCGATTAGGCTTCTAATCACGCCACCGATTATTAATATTCGAATTACATCTGCAGCGGGTCAGCAGTTTATATTTATGTGTTGTTACTCATGAACTGTATAAGATTGTTGAGGCAAATTCAAGACCATTTATCACGTATTGGTATTCTGATACCAACCGGTAAGTACGGCATGTGCTTTTTTCTAAGTACTTTGAGTTCTGGCACCCAAGCAATGGTTACGTTCGGAAAGAAATTGTTGGTTTAGTCTAAATTCGTCGATTGAAATTGGCAGTGCCAGATATGCCTGAGAAAATGTGTCTATTTATATACATATTTTCCCCAGGGCGATTAACCAGACAGTATGTTGAGAATTGTTGTAAAATAAATTAATACATCCAATCATCCATTTTCTGCATCCGTTTGTCCTCTTAAGGATCGTGGGGAATATAAGACATTACCGTGTGTCATTTTATGTTTGAAACTGTTATTTGATTTCGCGTTGCATAATAGTCATATTAGTGTTGCAAATGCTTTTGATTTGGAAAAAAAAATATATATATATATATATATATAGTATTTTGTGCGTGTGTTCTTGTGTTTCCAGTTTTATGTCATTCTGTAAAGCGTCGCCGGTTGTGTAAGATCTTTATGTGTATGTAAAGTACTTTGTTTCAACTCCTTTCCCGACTGTTGTAAAATAGGGAATTGTCGGGTACAAAGGAGAGGAATGCTGAAGTTTAACTGTGCTTTTTCCCTCCCCAATGCCCAGGCATACAAACGAAGCCCACCGTGTTTCCGCTTCAGTCATGCGCGTCTGACACCAGCGGAGGCCTGGTGGACATCGGCTGTCTGGCCACCGGATACGTGCCATCGCGCTCCGTAACTTTTACATGGCGCGACAAAGGGAAGGGAAGCGACATTTCTGACTTCGTTCAGTACCCCGAGGTCCAGCGCAATGGCGCCTACTCTGTTTTCACTCAAATTAAGGTGAAAGCCGAAGATTGGGAAAAAAGCAACACCTACACCTGCAATGCAAATCAAGGGCAGACCGCTGAATCAACAGATGTAACTCGAATGGGTAAGAGATTTTTGTCCATGTGTCATTTTATTAGTTTATTACTTTTTTATAAATGCACAAGTAATATTTAAAATATTATACGCAATTCCAAACTTGAACTTCTTACCAAATATACATGGCATAACTAGAAACCTTTCTCCATTCAGATAACTCTTAGCTTTTGTTACAAATCATTTAAACCTGTTAAACATGTAGGCATACAGAACAACCAATAGGTTCAAATATACATGTGTTATTATGTGCAGCTGTGAATTTGTCAGTAACCGAACTACAGTTGTGTACCTGTTGTGATACAAGGTGTTTTATTCTATTATTTTATTCCTTTTCCATTATTGAGTTACACATGGGTATGGGCATAAGATTCTGGTATTTGACATTCGATTGTTGGCAATGGCATCTATCAGACCATACGGATGACATTAGGATGAACATGTCATTTGTCAGTTATACATTTTTGTTTATTTCTCCTCATAAAATGGTCTAGCAGGTGCACAGAGGACAGGATTCAGTAATTATGATGAAAGCCACGCTATGAAACTAGTTACATTTTCTTGGCTGGCTAATGGAATTGCAGGCACTGGATATATATTTATACTATATTTAAAAAATCTGAAAAAGTACCAGATGTGTTTACTCAATGCAGTCGTTCTGTGTTAGCTGAAAAAGGTGTTTTGTTTGATCAACATTTTATCCAAGTGTTCTGATAACTTACTGACAAAAACAGGACCAGACATTATTAAGAATAAGCAGACATCCTAACCATATTGTCTTAGGCAATGAGGACCAGTGTAGACACCAAAGATCACCAAAGAACATGTCAATTTATCATAGAAGCCTGCAGGCAGTGACAAGCTGAACCCAGCCATGAATGAGTGTAGCATGGTCATTGAGACATATACTGTAGTGCTTCTCTAGTTTGTCTGTTGCTGTTGCAATTTTGCAGTATTAAAGGAGCCGATTCAGTCCACAGGCTTGCACCACAGTTGTTACTCCAAGTAGCCCTGGACCCTCTGTGTTTAATCTCAGCATACAGTTTTTGTTGGTGCCACAATGCTGCAATTAAGGTCTTAGCAATGGGTAGCCAATCATATGCTTTCATCGAACTGTAGGTTAGGTGTGGCCAATCATGTGCTTCTGTGAAAATGTATGTCAAGGGGTGGCCAATCATTTGCTGCCATTAAACTCTGTGTTTGGAGGGGGGGGGGATTCTGTTTGTTTATGAATGGTGCCAGAAAAACTAAGGGAATGCAGTGAGTTCATTTGCAGATATAATAAAATAGAGGAATAGTGTTTATGTATCAATTACTCTGGTTTCATTGCTCTTTGGTTGTTATTGAAATCATAACCAATGACTGAAACCTGGCCACATTTCACAGGTTTGTAAAATGAAATAGGTTATGTGCTTGAAACATTTTAACCATTACAAAAACTGATTATAATATGTTGGTGGCATACTGGTTAATGTAAACTAAAGTGCATCCTGCAGCCTCCCCAAGCTGTCTCCTCCCTCCAATGTGCTCTTTCTCGTCATCTACATTTACGCTTCTGCATACATCCCTATGTGTGTGTGTTTCTGCATTTCTTTTCAGTTGTAAAAACTGTGAATCCCACTCTGTACGTAATGACTCCGTCCCAAGAGGAGCTCACCGAGAAGAAGTCGGCCAGCTTCGCTTGTCTAGCCAAAGGCTTTTCTCCCAAGACGCACAAGTTGAAGTGGTACTTGGGGTCAAAGGAAGTAACTGAGAATGTCACTAGCTTACCTGAGGTTAAAGACAATGGCGACTCATTGTTCAGTGCGTCCAGCTTTTTGTCACTTCCCGAGAAGCAGTGGAAGAGCGATGAAGCACGTGTCACGTGTGTTTTTGAGCGCAAACCCGGCTCGATTGTGCAGGAGTCCGTTTCATTTCGCCCACCTGGTACGTTTCGTTCTAAATGTCTGTATTTGCATTGGAATTGCATTAAGTCATTACACTTTTTCTGTGTTTCATAGATACTACTGCATTAGTGAAGCACAAGGTCGACCTTGTTTGACCTTTGCATTGAGGAGAAAAGGGCTTATTCATATGTTAATGTTTAAAAATACGTTTTGTATATATTGTATATCTTTCATAGATCTGTTGAGAACCAACCAGTGTTCACCCTAACCATTCTACTCTTTGCTACATTATCCTTGTAGACTGCATAGAGGACCCCATCACTGTAAACATTTTTCCTCCAACACCTGAGAAATTTTTCCTCAATGAAGAAATCTTACTTGGCTGTAAAGTCACCGGCGACTTGAGCAATTTAGGAGCCATTGAATGGGAGAATGCAGATGGCTCCAAACTTGTGGCAATGAAGGAAGTTAAGGAAAATGGGAATTCTAGAGTCTCCTGGCTTTCCATCAGCTACGAGGAGTGGAGCAATGGCACAGAATTTGTGTGCATCGTAACGCACAGTGACTTGCCTTTACCAAAGAGAGAGACCTACCAAAGAGAAAACGGTAAGAGAATTATTCATCACAAGTTTTTAAATTGAAACTGTGCTTTATTAGGATGACATATAGTAACAGATTGAGTGCTGGGGGTTATCACAGATTTCACGAGTATAAATGTTATATTTTTGCAATGATATGCTGTTTCATCTGGTAATTTTTATCTACATCTATAAGATCAGCATGGTTTACTACTGTGCAGAAAAAAACAGTATTCAGTTATATATTATTAATATCTAATATTAGTAATGATAATAGTAGTAGTGGTGGTGGTATTATTATTATTATTATTATTAATAATAATGATAATAAACATACTACAAATAATAATTGAATAAGCATTTCAAGGTTTTGAACAATATTTCTGTTTCAACTTCACTTTGTAGTATACAGTAGCAGCTAGTATGTTCTAATTGGGCCTGTTTTAATCAAACTGCTTTAGTCTGTTGTAGCGTAACGTAACTGGGTGAGTGCTCATTTTTCTGTTGTCTTCACATATTGCTTGTTACATTACTCTGGCAAGCAATTCATTTAAGTTATACCATTTATTAAAGTAAGTAAATCATTATGAACCTCTAGTGGAATTTAAAATTACACCCGAAGACCCAGAGTGAAATTTCAATTATGACTTTGTAACATAATTAATTACATAGCTATCGCTCACATTATTAATTTTCATTAAGCGGGAGGGCAGTGCAGAAATTAATTTTATTCTATATACGTGCCTTTTTTCTTAGTATCGGGTTTAAATAATTGATAAACATAATCATGTCGATTTTCAGGACGAGCGGCCAAAGCTCCCTCCGTCTTTATTCTGGGGCCAGCGGAGCAGGCCAAGCAGGTGACCCTGACTTGCTATGCCAAAGACTTCTACCCCAAGGAAGTGCTGATCTCTTGGCTTGCCAGCGATGAACCCTTGGATAGGAGTCGGTTCAGCACAACTAGTTTGATTCAGACAGGCGACACCTACTCAGTGTACAGCCAGCTGACAATAGAGAAGGATGAATGGGATGAAGGCAAGGGCTATAGCTGTGCAGTCCACCATGAAACTAACAGCAAAGAAATCAAAGCCATAGTCAGAGCAATTGACAGCCTCACAAAGAAATCCTCTTCTGTCAACCTAAGCCTGTCCATTCCTCAAACCTGCAAGGCTGCCTAACTATTGTTTGTGTTTTGTTGTCTTTTTGTGGTGCCTCTGTAACTGTGATGTAGAAGAAATCCACTTGTCTGTCTGTCAACCTGTCTGATGTTTGTTTTTAACATGAAAATGCAAAATGAAAAATGGCAATAAAAAATCAGTAAATAAACCCTCATGTCTATACATTCTGTGCGCAGTAGCTAGTCCTATATAGTACTAGTCCTGCATCAGCTTTTCCAAGTATGTGGAGAAGCTGTAGTACAAACAAGGGCAAAATACATTTAGGTTTGCCGCTTTAGAAAAAAAAAAAAAAAGAATCCCAAAGCATTTGGCAAGAGCGCAAAGAGGGCTTCGTTAAAATTACAATAAGACTACCCATATAAAGGGTTTATGAATGGTTTATAATCTGGTTATTAATTAGGTTGTAACACTTTGTAAATTATTAATGGACAATATATAACAAGTTATAGCACTGTTTTCTTTTTATTAATGAGTCACTACCATTTACAAGTGGCAAAAGGCAGCCTTATTGTAAAGTGGTACCTAAAATTATAGTTATTGTCATTCAGCTGTTTTGCCTCTGTATTATATGTCCAAGCACACATTGTCCTCTATCTGCAACAGCAGGTAGGAGAACAGCCAGTAACATTATTATACTACATGGTCTTTCTGTGTTATCTCTTTAGGTAGTGTAAGCCCAGCATGTGCCTGTGTGTCATGTTAACTGTGGTTCATTGTCCAAGTCCCGAGTTCATGTCGTCATATAGATTGTCCATCAACTTGACCAGTGCAAATTATAGTATCAATGCTTTAGGACATCCTGGGTTCATCAGTAGCAAGCCAAGAGGGTCACTGAAATTGTCTCAGTAGGTCAGAGTCACCTGAACACGCAATCATTAAGACACATTACCAATGTGGCATGATCATATCATTAAGAAATGCTAGCATTAACGCCAAATTGTTTTTGACACCGAAAATCAACCAGCACACTAGCGCAAGTAAAACACTGCGGGCTGACTGTACAAATGAGCGATCATATAGCAATCTTTACCGAACAACCATTTCGGAGTACAATCACTTCTTTACTGCAGTATTTGGACAAAACAGCGCCTGGTTTCTCGAAACCATCTTAACGCTCTGAACGTGTTTCACGAAACGTTCTTCGTTAAGTGTATCTTCCGTAAGATATTCTTTCGTAAGGCTGGTCATAGCTTCTGTTAGCTGTCTCTAATCGCTGTTGCCGGCTCATACTGCTCATTTAAAATAAGGCTAACATTGTTAAGTTCCATAACCACACGTCACTTAACTAAAAAATAACATCCATATCATAAAATGATTTTGTATGATACATGACTATACAATCATCAGGTTTTGCCCTTGTGGTCTGAATGCACAGCAAATTGGCCTCAGTAATGTGCGGATAAGGAACACACTGTTGATTACATACTTATTTATTAACTGGGAAGGGGGGGGGGGTTCGGTTCTGTCGATATTGCGGTGAACGCCTTTCCCCCAATTTCCGATGCCCCTGGAATGCACAGACCTCTGTAATTGTGACAAAGTCAATATCAATATATCAATATATCAAACCTTTGGTTCATGAGGTTGATAAGAGTTGATACTGCAGGTTAATTTTCATGGAAGTCTTATATATTTCCCCCCAAAAGCCACCCTGTAATACTCCTTAGTAGTCAATACTGAAGCACTTAGGACATTCTCTTATGTTTAGACAGTAATGCAACTTTTCATTTGGCTATTGTGGCTCTGTTTATCCTAATATAAATGACATGCACACATATTGGTGCATGCAGATGTTTTATAGAACAAATAAAAATAAACTGGTGATACTACAATCTGGGGAGGGGGGCTCATGCTCTCAGTAGGCAAAAATCATATTTATGGTTAGATGACTCAAGTTGTTAATTTTGTATTTTATTGTTAGCTTCTCCCCAGTTTTGATTAATGCAACACCACTCTTCTCTCATGCGACAGTCACACAACTGCTGCATGCAGGGAATAATCGATTCTCAAGTCATCAATGTCGACCAATCAGGTGTTCCGGCGCCTATTAAAATCGCACAAGAAGCTCTCCCGCCTAGAGTGACCATTATCGAGAAACTGGGCCTAGGTCTCATTTCTTATTGAACATTTTTATTTTGTCATTTAAACTTCAACCTTCTGGCCACAAGCCTTTACCCACTACCACTGTGCTTCATACCACTTTTTTGTAAATAATTACTAAAGTCCTTTGTGGTCATGCCTGTACCTACCACTGAGAACAATTCAAGTCCTCAGAATTTTTTTGCGACTCCAATAATCACAATCAGTTACAGGGCAAACCTAGGAAGGGCCATGACTTTTGACCTCAGTATTTAAAACATCCAGATGTTTGCGGTTTCACTCTCCCAGAACCACGGCCTGTTAGTACATTTAAGCCCTTCAACAATAAGGGGTTTGGAATCTATCATTTTAGTTTGTATGTGTTATACTCCCTTCATTTAATCTGGAAATTTAGCTGGAATAGCGGTACATTTAAGATATTTTGGAATATTCCTTCTACTTTTAGTGCATATCTTGTGTTGAATGAGAACTTCTACAGCATAAGCAGTTGGGTAATTATGTGTGTTTGTGTGTGTGTGTGTGTGTGAAGACAGAAAAACAATGGGAAATAATAAAAGGAAACTATATCGCTCAGTGTTTAACATCGTCACCTTGCACATCCGTGGTGACAGTGAGTCATCCTCAGCTCTTTGTTGGTCTGTAAAAGTGTCCCCAGCTGAGCCAAACAGTTTCTGAAGAGGCACACTGTTGGTCGCCTTTCAGCATCACAATTTGAAATGTTTAGTGTGCTGGTCTTGTGACTTAAAGGAATATAGTGTATATGTGATTTAATATGTAGCTCTGAGAATGTTCAGGACAAAAGAACTTCTGGAAAACATTCACTGCTATCACTGGTTCTTTTACATGGGCGTCCACACAGGAAGATTAGATTAATAGTAAGAGACTGCAGAGTTTAGACTGTTGTACCTGGAAATAATCTGCGCTTCATCTGTCTTAAGTGCAAAATAATACAGATTCTCAAAATAGTACTTTAGAGCTCTATACAGTTTAACTTGCTTTTCTTTATTAAAAGTAAGGAAGGGACCTTGTTAAAAATAATCAGAGCTTCACTGATTGTGCCTGACCTTGTGACACTGTACCAGATAAGTGGCTGGTCCACAGATGATGATGGATGAATGGATGGATGGATGGATAATTCAAAGCTGAAATGTTTTCATTTCCACAGCTGTTTGGGTGATTATACGCTTGGTTTCTTGCAGACAAATACCCGTATATCTGGCTAGACCCTGGCTGGTATGTCATCGAAGGCGAGTCTGACAATGCAGGACACACCATCTTCACCTTCATCCTTCTCTTTCTCATTACTCTTTTCTACAGCATTGGGGCCACTCTCACCAAGGTAACAGTCGGCACAGGATGCGCAGCCGTGACAGGTCGTTCCGATAGGCACACACACTTTAATGAGTAAATGTATCACGCTGTCTCTTTTCTCAGGACAAACCAAACTCTGATTTACCTTAAACGGTCTTCCAATGTTGTATTGTTTCTTTAAATGACATCCAGGTTTATGTTAAGAAATAAGACTATTGATTTTTTTTTTCCAATATGAAATATACATGAATATAGTAATTAAAGTAACAAATAACAAAAAAACTTTTCTCACCAATAGTATGCTCTAGCTATAAATTATAATACAAGCATGAAACACTGATTGGCTGACTGAATAAAATCAGCTTTAGTTGGTATTTTGGAAGCTACACTACTGGCCAAAATTGTGGAAACGTCCAATTCTTAGAGAACTTTGTTCAAATGTTGCTCCAGTTACTTATTTAATTGTCCATTATATGATTTTAAAAATATCACACGTTGGATGATTAAATAAGTAATTGAAGCGATTGTTCAATAAATTTCTTCAGTCTCTAAACTGTGTGTTTCCACAATTTTTGTCAGTAGTGTACATTTAATTCCAGTATGACTGCATAAATGCTACATCACCGGTGTAGTGTTCCCTAACATAAACCTCGGCTTTACATGACTGGGATACAGGGCTTTGAGATATAAGTTTAAATACTGAAATCAATGTTTCTGAAATCTGAAAACAATGTTCTGATTATATATTAATTGTGCATAAAGTAAGACTGCGTATATTCAAATTTTTAATTCTTTATAAAAAGTGTGATTGCAGACATGTTAAACTGTTTTTGTTCTTTTATATCTATAAATAAAACATACATATCTTCTTGTTTTCTTTAAATATACTTTTCAATTTCAGATGAAATGATTGCCTGTTCAGAAGAACTGATACCAAATGCAAATTAGTTTTACTGTGAGTTACATTATGCTTGTTTTAAATGTGTCTGTGCTTTTCTAAAAGTAATTTTTCTGTTATCTTTTCTCATCATTTGTCCTGTTAAAACTAAAAATAATTGCACCCGTATATAATTTTGCACCATTTTGCATACCTTAATTTTTGTGCATTATTTTCATACAGTATTGTAATAAAAGCTATTAAATGTATAAAATAATTGTGTTGTGATTTGTATATGTTTGTTACAGTAACTGAATAAAAAATTTGATTTCTAATCCTGAACTTGTGTATATCCTTGATTTGTGCAAATTATTTCAAACCTTAAAATGTACTATTTCCTGTTTTGTCTATAAAAACAATTAAATGTTTTTCACAAAAAATGTTATGACCATTTTACTAATGTTTACCTATTTAAAATAAATGAGCACTCACCCAGTTCCGTTACGCTACAATAGACTAAAGCAGTTTGATTAAAATTGTATTCATTTGTCTTGTATAAAACAGAATGCCAGTTACCTCGGACATATTTTTATTAGGAATTTTAACCATTATTAAAAGTTCGTTTTTATAAAAAAAAAAAAAAAAAAAA